ACACACACACACACACACACACACACAGAGCATAGCCCATACGAAGTGATGCTGGAAATTATAGCTTGGCAATATCTGGAAAGTTCCAATTCCCTACTCTACAAAAACTACCAAATTCTATAATTCAACATACTGGCAGTTGAGGTTAATGCTAGAGCAATGGAGCCAAATTCTCTCTATTTCTAAAACCCGCTCAATATCCCTAGCACTATCTCACTACCTATTTCCTAATGGTGAGATCAGCTGGGTGGAAAGACTGATGCTACCACTTTCCCTGGACTTTCATTTGCTAATGCTTTTCCCCGCTGCATTATAGTATGAACTTTCGATTATTTGAATCAAGTAATTAACCAAGGAGATTCTGTCTCCCAGTGCCTAGAACCTAGAGGAGCCTAGATGGGACTCAGCAGGCTTTAATTCAAATCTAGCAAGACCGATTATGTTTGGGGTTTAGGACTCTCTGGTTCTGGGGACTAGCCATCCTTGTTTCTAGATGGGGTTACATTGCCTCAAACACATTTGGACCCACGGATCCTGTTTGAGATGGTAGACAAGTCCAGGAGCATCTATGTAAAGCTTTGTACCATGTCCAATTGTCCTCTCATAGTCACTCATGCCATTGGACAGTTGCAACATCCTGTACATGGGGCTGCCTTGAAGACCATTAGAAGCTGCAGCTGGTGTATAATGCATAAGGCCTTGAAGACGTGGCTCAGTGCTTCAGCCTAGGGGCCCAGCACATCTCCTGGTTATGTTGATTCCTATGGGTTTAAAATTTTCATACATTTTTATTATTTTAATGTAAGTTCCCAGAGTAATGTTTGAGATGGGATGCTATATAAATCTATAAATACATACATATAGAGAGATTCATACTTTGATTTGACAGTAGGATATATTATTTATTTCAACTGGGAAGGAAGGCTTCTTCTAAGCAAATCCTAGAGCAAGCCCTCATTCCCATAAATTGTAGGCAATCTTTTCCCTCCCACTCAGCAATGACCAGACTTGACAGTTTGACAAGCAGTGAGCATTTTTACATTAAAGGCTGGCATCTTTAATAATGTAGCTGCAATGTAATAAGGCCAAGTTAAGAGTATGGATATCAAAAATATCAATACAGCGTCACCAAGATTATGTTTCCAATGCTGTAATCAAGCCCTGACAACCTTAGACTTCCTATTAGACTTGTCAGGGATATCTTTTCTTTGCCCTTACAAGTTTTGGTGCAGCAAAACATGCCTTTGAGATCCTCTTTTTCTCATCTTTAAGTACTCGTCTACATCCCATGCGAATATATATAATTAACAGGTTTTTCCAGTCAGAGCTCGCAGCTTTTCAAAGACTGTAACCCAAATTTCTTTCATTTTACATTCTATAAGCAATTTGCACAATATACAGAATGAATAAAGGCCTGTGGTGAGTAGATCTTTCATGCCGTCTGAAGCTCCTTTAAAATTTAATGTGTAATTATGACATTTCAAAATATATTAGTCACACTCAAGGATATTAAAGTTCTATATTATAGTGCCTATTTATATTTAAACCTAAATATATACCTATTTACATTAGATGATCAAGATCTTGTAAACCAGCTAAATCACATATTACTTGGTTCTCACATGAACTTTCTCAAGATGTTGGCAATTTTACATTTTAGGTTTTTATTCTCATATCATAAGATGGGAAAAGGCTGATGGTCCTGTTTTAGGTATACACTGAAAAAATGTGCATAATAGGTAGGTTTAAAATATTATCTCCTGAAAATTGAAGGTTCAAAAATAAGAACTGTTTGTGAAACAGTTTTGCCATGGGAGATCCATCAAATACAACTGACAAAACTTCTAGGATAGCAAGAGAAAAGTCTTATTTTTCCTCAAAAAAAAAGGAAAAAAGATCAGTACAGTTGTGTTTTCAAAATAAAAACCAATTTTGATACAACTGTGATGGCTGAGAATCTTCATAGACATTTCTAGAATCAGACTATACCTAAATCTTAGCAATACTTTCAGAATAGTTATTTTAGGAAAACTGCTGAAAAACTCCTGGAGTGGACTTCTGAGTTCTCCAGTCAAACATTCAATTTCCTGAAAATGAAATTTGAAGCATATCCAGCACATACTTTGGTTCTTAGTAATTTTGTTGTGCTATACCAAGATGCAGATATTTTCCTGTCCACTGAAAATATTATGAAATTAAAATGAATAAACCAAGAAATATCCTTAAAGGAGCAGGTAAGACATTCAGTGTCTCTCAAATACACAAAATACTTGCACTGTTCAGATTTGATTAATAGCAAGGCAGACACATACACTTTAATATAATATTGACTTGTCATATTTGTGCCCAACAGGACAATTTATATTAGCACCATAGCATTTCCATTTTTAAAGATAATAGAAATAACAGTGAAATACATTGTGCAGATCGGTTTTGGCAAAGATACAATCCCGATAGCAATCACACATAAATGAATTGGATCCTTACTGAACATCCATTTAAATTAGATATATTGAAATGTATCTTGACTATAAACCTATACAAGCCTACTTGGAAGTGAGCACTACTGAGCTCACTAGAGCTTCCAATTTGGTTTGTAAGAGGCCAGTATCAATTTAATATCCTATTGTTTGATGTCATTTTGCAACAATATGATAAGGCACACATTTCAAAGGCTACAGACTGCAGATTAAGAAAGAATCACTGAAAGATTTCAGCAATCAAGCAGAGCACGCTATCAATTGTCCCTGAAGTATGTATTGGAATTAGCTGAAACCCAATCCTTAAATCAAATTAAACCACTAAAATCCAGTTCCATGTTCCACATTTGTAAAAGTACTCCAAAATTGTCCAATCACAATTTTAATGTGTGTATTAGTAACCTAGAGATCTGCAGAAATGTATATGGAAGATCCAGTTTTAGTTTATGGAGAAAAAGTGGGGGAGAAGGATTATAATTAAGCAAAAACTCAAGAGACTTTGGCTATGTGACACAAGCAAAAGATAGCAGTAGCTAAAAGACGGATGGGCAGGATCAAAGAGCTCATAAGAATATTATTGGAAGAGCTAATTATAGATAATTATCAGGGTCCAGTTAAAATGCAATAGCAATAGCAGTTAGACTTATATACCGCTTCATAGGGCTTTCAGCCCTCTCTAAGCGGTT